TTGAGATAGAGTCTCACTCTGTTGCCCAGGCTAGAGTGCCGTGGCATCAGCCTAGCTCACAGCAACCTCAAACTCCTGGGCTCAAATGATCCTCCTGTCTCAGCCTCCCGGGTAGCTGGGGCTACAGGCACGGGCCACCCTGCTGCCTCCTTATATTTTTAAACATGACTTTTTTCTCATCATAAAAGCAGCACATGCTTGTTTTAGAAAAACATGTTATGTTTATGTTAGATATTTATTTAGAAAAATACTGAAAATTGGAAATAAAAAACATGTGTAGTATTGTCCTCTGACTTCCTCTTTTTTTGGAAGGCAAAATTCAAGGGAAAAAAAGAAGAATCTGAATTGTTTCATCACTACCAAGAAGCATTTATTATCTATTTGTGCAAAGAAAAGTAAATTGCAACAATAAGGGTTTTTTTTTTTTTGTCCTGTACACTGTTATCAATTTTCTTGGGAGCACCCCTGACACTGTGGTCCACTTCTAGAGCAGCTATTTCCATCCATCGTTACACATTTCACTGGAGTCCATTAAAAAAGTTGAAGAGGAAATAGATGCAGGAAGAGTGAAAGCATTTTACTTGCTCTTCAGAGAAAAACAGCATGTTGGAGAATACAGGGCGGATAGGAAAGCTTACAAGGAGGCAGAGCAACAATAAAGTTTTCTTTACCCTCAGTCAGCAACTCTCTGTTGAGCACCTATGCTGTGCCAGGCACTCTGGCAGGCACTGGAGATAAAGAGGAACACAAGAAACAATCTGCCTTCTAGGAGCTTATGTTCTTGTGGGGAGACAGCTACTTAGCAAGGAAACACACATATAAATAAGGTAGTTTGAGCCCTCGTAAGCAGAAATTAGAGAAGGGTATATGCAGGAAAGTGACTAGCAGACCTGTCTGTCACATTTGGGTGATCAGGGAAGGAGGATCTATCTGAGCGGAGACCTGAATGGCAGGAGGAGGAATTGATGTGAAGATGTAGGGGAGAGTAGTCCAAAGCAGAAGGAACAGGCACTCTGAAGCCTAGAGATAAACCTTCTGTGCTCACAGGGTGAAAAGAGGGCCGGTGGGGCTGGGGCAAAGTGAACGATGGGGGAGAGCGGAAGGCTCGGTACGACCTCGAAGGTCATGGCAAGGAGTTTGGTTGAAAATTTGAATCTTAATTGAGTCTGTCCAACAAGAAATGCCAGGCTAACCCGTCAAGTTATAGGAAAAATTGGAGAAACATGGTAGATACCACCTTAGTTAGCCAAGTGGTCAAAATTGACACCACCAATTGAGTGACAGTGCATCATATTGGGTCACTGAAAAGGACATAGTACCACTTTCTGGTATTCCTGCCAAATCTGATCTACCTAATCATGAAAAAATATTAAACAAACCCAAAGTAAGAGGCAACTAAATGCCACATTTGATCCTAGATTGTACTCTGGACCAATTTTTTTTTTTTGACGGGGGTGCAGGTGGTAAAAAGGAACTATAAAGATATTTTGAAAAAAAGAATAAGGTCTACAGACTAGCAAACGGCATTGCATCCGTGTAAATTTTCTGATTTTGGTAATTAAACTGTGATTATATATAAGAGAATGTCCTCTTTCTTACAACACACACACTGAAGTATTTAGGGGTAAGGAGGCATGTCTCTAACTTACTCTCAAATGGTTTAGAAAAAGTGTGTGTGTGTGTGTGTGTGTGTAGACAGTGAAAGAGAGAATGACAAATGTGTGGTAAAATAATTGGGGAATCTGAGTGAAGGGGATATAGGAATACAGAAATTCTTTGCACTGTTCTTGAAACTTTTCTATTAAGTATGAATTTACCTCAAAATAAAAAATTAGGCCGGGCACAGTGGCTCATGCCTGTAATCCTAGCACTCTGGGAGGTCGAGGCGAGAGGAT